ATACGCGGCTGGTTGGTATACGGGGCATCAATAACTTGTCTCGACGCTTTGGCGAGCTTCTATGCAGTTCTCGAGAGGAATCAATATCTGGGAATTGAAAGTAGCAACGCTGAGACGAGTTGTAGGTAATGGGGAAAACAGTTTTTATTTTTTATTACGTATTATTAATAATATTAATATTATAATTGTTTCTGCGTTTTTTTATTGTTTTTTTTTTTTTCAAACGTGAAACAACACAGCCTAATTTTTTATTTAAGCGCCGATACATATATGCATCTATAACGTATTATATACACATGTACACATCTACACAGAGACATACACACAATGTCATGCAATATGTACATATAACTATCGTGTGGATAATAAAATTTATGCAGCAAGAAGGGAAGGGAGTTGTGTGCAAGATAAATAGATAGAGTGATAATACGATATATATAAATAAATTAATAAATAAAGATGGAAGAAACGATTGTAAAGGAATGGATACAAGAAAAAAAAAATTGTAAAAAAGGAGAAATGGATAGGACATGTAGTGCAAGTGTTTGAAGGGTCAGTAATGAAATCTTATGTTCAAGTTGTTTAGCTGCTGTCTTTTACGGTTTATCTTTTTTGTTTACAATGATGCGTCGAGTATGAAAAAACAAAAAAAATATAATACTGTAAAGTGTGCGAACCTTGATATAAAAGTACAATTTTTAACAAAACTACAATGATTTGTTAAATGATTGAAAAAAAAAAAAGATTACATTAACTTGTCTTCGATCAGGGCCTTTTCATAAAATAAAAAAATCAGTATAGGGAGAAAACGATACTTGTATATTTTATATTTCATTAACGATGATGCCAAGTTATATTCTATCAAACTTTTTCCTCATCTTTTATATAATGTAAAAATCTCGAAGAATTTTTTCATACTTTAATTAACAACTTTACAATCAAAATACACAAAATATATAACTTGTTACGTGGTTTATATACGCTTACGCTGATACAATATAACTATTGTTTGTAAAAATATGATAAAAAAAAAATTAAAAATCGACTGCATTTTGCTGATCGTACAGAAAAACATCATCATTCGCGTGTTGCATTAATTAAAGTTACACAACTTTTTAAGCACTTTAACGTTTACCGATACACATAAGAACAAAAAATTTCTCCCTGTAATACTCAATTTTTCTAATGCAATGATTTTTTTAGAAGAAAATAGAAAAGTTTGATTTGAGCCAATTAAAGTGAGAATGGCAACAGAGACATGAGGTGCAAAGTCAATGAAATCCATTCGTGCATATCTAAACCATAGCAATATCAATTCGTTAATTGTATAGTATTGTATTGATTTCTTTATGTAATCAATCATTTTTCATTTGTTAATAGCAAATATAACTACCTAGAACCGTATTTCTTATAATATTTTAAAACAAACGAGGGATAATTCGAAAGCCTAACAAAAATTTCATTGTCAATTAAACAAAATTAAATATAAAATTAAAATTGTATCGACGGTGGATAGAATGAAGGTAGAAAGTGAGAAAGAGAAAGCCAAGAAATCTGGCTCTATCGCAATTGATATAATCAAGAATAATCTCTTCGATGGAAATCCTGAGTTTCTTTGCTTTCAAAGTTTTAACATATCAATTGATCTAAAAGATCTAAAAATTTTTATAACGCGTAAGTTGAAATTTGATTATTTAATCAATCGATGTCCGTAATTATTTAACGTTTAATAAACCAAGCAAATTGCAGAAGAGAGTTTCACAAGATGAGTCGCATGTTCCTGTTTATTTGATTACGAAAAAAAAACGTACTCATATTATGTACAAAAAATACACGTTTGAAAACTTCAGTGTTTGTTAAGTTTGTTGATTCAAATAAGAAAAAACGGCGAAAAATTGAAGAGAATGAGTGAAATATGTGAGTATTATGGCTTGTATTTTAAATTTGAAGTATAATTTAATTAAAAATGGATGGGCACTGAGTGTAGCATTTCTGTTACATGTGTTTGTTTATTGTATACCTTGGATACGATCGACCAGATTTTTTTCATTGTGATCGATATAATGGCAATGCGTTATTACAGGTAAAGATTTTTATAAAAAGGGTTTTTTCATTTCAATGGTCTAATTTACTGAAAAAAAGCTTTGCCGAAATTATTTTATCGAACTTGTTCGCATATATACATACACGTGTGGAAAATACAAAAAAAAAATTTAATTATTCATCAGTAATTATTATAAAAAGGAAGGAGAGTATTCTTCTGATTATTTCTTGAAAGAATAATATGTGGTGTCGATTAAGATAAAATAACATGGCGCGTTGATGTGAAAAACAAAGGCTTAGGAATAAGGAGAGTGTGGTAAAAAAATATATTAATACATGTCGATTGGAAATATGTGCTCGATGACACAGCGCTGCGAGGATATTTTCAATATAAAAAGCAATAAATAGGCCGCTCTTAATTCCATTGTATACTAAATCATTATGTGAATGCTTAAACGAGATTAATTGAATTTACACACGTGGAAAAAATAAACAAGAAAAATACCAATTTTACATCTTCTTACTAATTGTAAACGGTTAAGTACGTATAGCGAACACATTAAAGAAAAAATATTACGCAACTGTGTATTACGATTAACCAAAATATTACTGAAAAAAATTACAAGCTGAAAATAACAAAAAAAAAGCAAAATCGTAATCCACATCTAAGTACGTAAAGTTTCAATTTTACACTACTGATAATAATGATATAGGTATAAGCGACTATATAAAATACAATGATGATTTATAATAAATATAACGCTGTACAGGATATTAATGAAGAGGCCTGCCTTTTACAATATTGCCGAAAGAGAGTCGATCGACGACAATGAAAAAAAAAGAAGAAGCTTTTACTCATATTGCAATTACATTAATATAATTATCTCTGGTGACGACATATTTTTCGAGTTGTTATTATTTCGCACTGTATTTTTGAATGTGTACGATGCATGATTACCACATGAGAAAAGCGAATAAGTTGAAAATAAAATGATTGCATAAATAAATGGGACTAGAAAAATCCTATCATGGTTGAGCGAACATTTAAATCACCGATTATAATTCTCGCGAATAATTCTACATTAAATTTTTTTGGAATTTAGCTGATGATGAGAAATGCAAGCAAACGAATAATAAATATTAAATAAAATAAACGAAAAAAAAAAACATGATGAAAATTCGAGATTTTTCTCATTATTTTTTATGAGCGTCGTTTTTTTATCGCTACAAGGCTCTCGTTTTGAAATAATGTAGTAGACCAGACGTATAATAAATGTTTTGTAAAATATTGAAGAAACCAGCAAAAACAAAAAAAAATGAGAAAAAAGAAAATAACAAAAAAAAAATTAAATTGGGTCGGACCGAGTGATTATTAAATGACGACTCAGAGCACACTAGTTGTGCGCCGAAATAATTGGAAATGTACGATTTTTCATCGTAGATGGGTTAAAAAAATCATAATAAATAAATAAGTAAATAAAAAAGATTAAACAATTTGCACTCTGTAAGCACAAGATGAAAGACAGATAACGTAACGATTATTGTCGGTCCAAGTTGTTTTATTTTATGCCGAGAAATCGGTTATGGATTCCAATTGTACGGCGATCGACTAGATTGGAATCAAAAAGAATGTGATGTTACATTCATTGATAGAAAAAAAGAATTTTGCGTGAGAGTAAGGAAAAAAAAATACTGTAATACAAAATGAGTGAGTGAGTGAGTGTGAGATAAAAACTGTTAAAAAAAAAAAAAAAGAAAAAAAAAAGAAATAACGACGTTGCATTAGGCTCTTGGAGAGTATTATAAACTACATCAAATGAATAACAATAATAACGAAAGAAAAAGTGAAAAAAAAAATGAAGAAAAAACAAGAAAATTGTGACGCTGACTCGCGACACGGTCCGAGAATAGAGGTGTCCGTAAGTTTAATTAATTGTGTATGTATACAAACAAGAAATATATATATATATATATAGCACCG